AAATTTACAACCAATATGTCTCTTGTAAATGTACTCTAATTAATACTGTGCCTTAAATATGAATATATGAATACACCTACAAGTTTTGTTTTAACTTTGGAGTATTTCAAGTCCCCCAGAAGAGCTGGTATACACAGGTATATTTACCCTTCAGTAATCTCCTACAAATTACAGTTTTTAAACACGGAGAACCTCCTACTTAAGTAACTTTATTCAAATTGTGTTCAGTGCGAATATCTGCCTCACTACTTTGCATTCAAATATAATTAAAATGTCCCGATCTGGTTCACACAGCGGTACAGGATGTATTTGGCATTTCGGAGAACCTCCATTGTGACCACTGTCTACTCTGTCCAAAATAATCAGTCCAGATGCAATATCTTAAACAGTCCGCTTATGAAGCTTAAGGCTTCATAAAAGAAGCTAATACGTACTTAAATTTACTTTTGAAAAATCACCATACTTAACGTCGATTACCCTTAAACTGTTAGCTTTGATATTACATTAACATTCATTAAACGACTTATGTATAACAGAACGCTCGTGCAACGTGAAATATACAATCTGACATTATTTAGCAGGAACGTATTTATTTATACCAACATTCAAACGCGTAAGTTCCCTTCTCCGCGACCGAAAACTGATTCCAGGGCTAAATTTTAATTCCTCATTAGTTTTACTGTTTATAATCGTCCTTCATTGTATTTGCCTGTCTCTATAATAGGATACGGTTTATGATCGATTCTGTGTGTTACGCATTAGTAAAAAATTCATAGTACGGAGGTTGGATGGGAGAATCTTCTACTGTAGAAGCGTTGATAGAATTTGGCATGTTTTGGGATTATTTTTGAGGGACACAAGAGGGAAAGGATGCCAAATAAATGGCGCCCTTCCAACAGGCTAAGAGTCTCTATCTTCTCTTCTTATATTTTGTGTGTGTGTGTGAACGGTGAATAATATTTCGACGCACGCCGTACAAAAGCGAGAAAGGAAAAGTTATTAGCGAAAGTATCCGCGCATGGTTTTTTCCCATCCGATCGCTTGGGGGCTGAAACACAACCGCAGAAAATTTGATGGGGTTTGGCTGAAGGTTAATTAGCATTATCTTGTTCTATTATGTAGTGCGTGGCTGAAATTTTCATTACTCTGCACTGCAAATGTCACTAGGCGTCTTCAGTAATAGATTACAAATAAAAGGCTGCACGCTACTTATGTTCATGCATTCATTATCATCTCATTTGCATTTATTAAGTTTTAATTTGATTTCGACAACTTTTCCAGGGCTAAAAAGACGATGATAGCAGCTGAAGCATTCAACTCAAAGAAAGTCTAAGAAATTTTGTAGTTGGTCAGATTAAGTGGCGTAGAATCAAACTGTTGCCAAAAGATGAATTTGAAAATATTTTCCAGGAAGAACTGAAGAAAACCACAACACCTCAATCAAGCTACCCGGCCTCCAAGCCGAGGTGTGTCCAAAAGCTCCAGAACATATGCATAAACACCTTTTAAGCTGTAATGCAGGCTCAGTGTAAGATACAAGCCACTATTTGCGCAGACATCAGCATGAATAAGAAAATACCGAGCTATTGTCTTATCTTATTGAAGAAAGCAAGGAGTCTTTGTTTTTCAAGTCTGCAAGTCCTTTAATCTCGAAGCATTTATGCGCCTCCATTACGAAGACCACGCGTTGAATGCTGCAGAGATAAACAATCCAGGAAATGTTTAAACTTACGCTGTGACGGAAATGCGTGGGTTATTGACTATTAAAGCAGGCGGCGTGTATAATAAACGCTGTGCTATGAAGAGTTCATAGCAGTTGACCATCCGCCTTATAATCAGCAACTTCTTTGCATATAAGTTATTATAAGAAGCTAAACTGCGAAAAGGAACCAAAATAATAGTCTAAAGCTGAACTTAGCAGGGGGATTCGTGAGTGAAGTCTAACACTTGGTCATTTATTACAACCATGAAAATTAAAAAATATATAATAGGCATTTTAGAACACAATCTTCCTTCTCCGTTTTATTTGTATCGCGAAATTAATGTGTGATGACGCAAGAAACC